ACAAGTTCACGGTGAGTTCTAACGCGTCTTGGTTGATTCACTATTAGGCTCTTGGAGGAACACGTTCGAGCTCGTTAAACATCGCAAGTATGAACAGTTCTTTTACGAATTTTCAATACTAATTTACCAAAACACGTTAGAACGCATTCATAAACTTGTTGATCAGAAGTACGTAACGCATGCTTACGTCTTTTAGTCAGAAAATGAATGATAGTGCGCCTGCGGTGCCAGCAACATTTGCGCGTGAAAAGTTGCCGTAGAGCGCAAAATTTCCGGTAAGTGCTTTCTAATGTTGTCTATGCATTTTTACAATTTGATATCTGCTTGTTTGCGATGGAGGAAAAAGTAAGTTGGAGATTATTCACAGTACCAAATTTGTGCTCACTCAAGCAGGCTACAAACAAACAAATAAAAAGCCATTCACAAGCCTCAACTCTTATAATACATTCAAGTACAGATGCAGATTTTACGTTATAACACATTACCATATTTAGTAGATAGTGGTAGTCCCGGTTTCGGTTCGGGAAGAAAGTGGGGCGACAAAGTTAAGGGTCTATGACCCCGAAACTCCCAAAAAAAATTTCACAAGGCTTAATCGAATTTTAAATATTTTAAAAATTATGTCGATTGTTTACAAATGTGAACAAGTTACTTGCACATTTTTGTAACCCATGTAAATAACTTCAAAAATTTCGCGACCCATTCGGAATATTTTCTTTTGAATAATTTTTTATAAAAATTTTTTCTTTTGGATGATTTACTGCATTGATAACATGGAGAAAATTACTATCTAAGAATTATTTGAAAGAACAAAAAACACTTCAAATAGAAGCTACAAGCACAAATATTAATGTAATCATCTCGATTTAAATATTGGAATAAAGAACAGCAAATTTGTAACAAACTTGTATAATAAGACTGACCATATCAAAAGATTTGATTTCAAAAGATCCATAATTCTACATCTCATACTCGTTTAATACAAAGCAACTATATATACAAACCAGTGGCGTAACGAGAGGGAGGGGGGGGGGGGAGTCGCGAAATTGAAAGTTGCTTACATGGGTTATAAAATTGTGCAAATGACTTGTCTGCACTTTTAATAATTAAAATAACCTTTAAAATATTAAAAAAATTCATTTTAGCCGTATAAAAATTTTTTTTCGGGGGAGTGCCTGACGCCACGCTCCCTTTTTCTGAAATTTCGGGATTCTACGCCCGCGAAAGTAGGGAGCATACCAAAAATTTTTTTTTGTCGCCCCTCTCTCCCCGAGCCGAAATCCTGGGTACGCCACTGGTAGAAATTTTTGAAATTAAAAAATCTCAAAAGATTTCACACTCGAAGATATTTTAGCCCAAACTGGATATAGTTCAATCAGGTTGTCAAGAGATAGAGAAAAGCTCTGCAAACTGGTATTGATGCTTTCGCGCCAAGGTTGTTATACATGAATTTGAATATCAAATCTAAAAAGTTTTAAATGTTCAAAAAATCAAGAAAAAAATCGGATCTTCTCCAAAAACCTTCTACGCCTTTCCCACTTGCACACATCTATACTGACGTAAAACATTCATATAAAGTTGCTGTAATTTTTCCTTGGCTAGAAGCTACGAAATCGAAAATTTTCATTTTTTTCTCAAAGCAGTGCTGGATTGTTCCGACATAAGCAATTCTTTCCTACAAGTCTTTATAGGTATAAGTGTAAACTCTTAGCCTTTCTCGAACCCTGATTTTTGCGAAATATCATATGCAGCTCTCGCTTCTGTTTTCTGCTAAAATCGAGAGTCTTCGAAAACTAGCGCTGAAAAAGGCCTGAAATACAGTTATGATTATGAAGACGTTGTATAGAACTCATGTCGGAAAGGACCAGCATTGCTTTGGGAAAAATATGGCAATTTTTGATTTTCAGTTTCTAGGCAAGGAAAAATGCATCAATTGTTTATATGGATGTCTGATATCGACAGTGTAAAAGTGCGCGAGTGGGAGGTTCTACAAGGGTTTTGGAAGGAGGTCCGATTTTTCGATTTTTTGGATTTAGAACTTTTTATCGAACAGTACCTCTCATGCGTTTTTGGGGTTTGCCTGGACGGTGCTATAGCAGGCAAAAAATCGAAATTATAAATTTGACGACTGGTACATCACACACTGTATCATCGCATCTATCTTTTATAAGCTTAGATGTTGGGGTCACGATTTTTCACCGTTTCCACTTTAAACATCAGCATTTTCCATCTAGCTGATACTTTGTCGGGTTAAGCGACTCCTAAAATCCAAGGTTTCTTTTTGTATACAAAATGGGAACACTTTTTTTTAACAAAATAAGCAAGATAAAATCGATATCGATCACCCGCCGGGGCCCGAAGTGTATGTGTGCCAAGTTTGGTCCCGATCGGTTCAGAAATGGAATTTTCTATTCGGAACATACGTACAGACAGACATACATACATACATACATACATACATACATACATACATACAGACAAACAGACATTCAGCTTTATATATAAGAATTATCTACCCAAAAGGAGCAACTATGAGATCATAAGATCTTCTATGAGATTATAAGATCTTCTAGAAAGCAGTACAAAAAGAAGGTGACGCGAGAATATTGCGCGTGCTTGTAATAAGCTCCTAGTAAGCAAGAATCTACTACGATATTCGTTACGATAGAATTTCGAAAAAAAGTGGTGCGATTATTTTGATTAAGACGCCCAGAATTTTAATCGCGATCCGTCGGAAAGCAAAAAACGCGTGGCAGCTCAAACAATGTTGTTTTGTTCGGTTCGTTCCAATAATTGTCAACAGAGCGATTTGTTTACCCGAAGCTAATCTGTTCAAGCCGTATAGAGCCAGGTGTTGTGCTACGAAGGATAAAAAATGAGAGTCGTCAGCAGTTGAAAATTCATGCCATAAGCTCAGCACTGAAAACACTGAGTCACATCAGGTACCTGACTCAATTGGCGGCTGAACGGGGCTTCGTAAACTGGTTAAAGCTAGGGAATGATCAGAGAGCACGCGCGAGAGACGCAGACTGCGTCGGGGGAGCGAGCGGCCTTAATTATGACACAAAGCCCCGCCTTCTAGCCGCCATTCCAGCTGAATCAAGCATTATGTGCTGTAGATTGACAGCGTGAAGCTGCCAAATGATACTTTTCTGGTCTCAAAATCTCAAACATTCGCAAATACTTCCGGGGCAGACTGAACTTCTAAAACTTCCGAAGGGACGCTCCTATGGGGTCGTGTGGGTGGTCCCCGCCCTACCTAGCCCCCCGCTCTACCTGGCAGCTCCAATAGGAGTGTCCCCCGGAAGTTTACTTCACCTAGCCTCGGAAGCCATTTGCGATTGTCTGAGATTTTCAGCCACTGAAATGGGAACTCACTATGATGTGATCTCTGCAGAATGACCACTTGGTCTTTCCTAATTTGCTAAATGTTCATCAAAACCCGCATAATTTCTTTGAAAAAACATCTATTCAGATTCTCGCCTTCTATGTTTCAAGCAATCTTAGGCCTTTTTTCTCTGTTTTTCGGAAAGAGGTGCGAGATGCACGAAAATTCCAAAGACTCCTTTTTTTGAAGTCTTTTCTGGCATGCGTAGGGGAATCCGGAATTTTAAGCGATGTCCCGGATAGAAACTCGATTTATAAAATTTTCTCCTAACTAACTTAATCACTACACTGAGTCTGAAAATCGATTTTAGAAGACGCAAAATAGCGATTTAGAAGACTCAAAATAGCGAGAAGGCGCCTGCCAATTTGTGAATTTGGACGAGTACAGCAGTTTCCGCATGAGATTATAATGTTCAACGTAGACAAGAAAAACGTCCGGAAAGTGGGGAACTTACTTCTTGGGGCGGGGTCCTCCGAGCTGTCCGAATTCCTGGTATGCGGCAGAGTGCGCATGCCGCAACTGTCAAAATCATAAGGTCCCGCAGCGACTCTGTGTCTTAGCCTTGGCGGGTATCGCCGAATTTCAAATTGCAAGGTCTTGGAAAACCCATATTCTCTCCGTTTTTGCGCCTTCTAATGTGGGTTTTCGGATCCAGCGTTGCGGATAAGTAAGTGGTAAGTGGTTTTCTTAGAAACCGAGTTTTTGCCCGGACATTGCCTTTATAGGCAGCGTCCAAGCAAATGTGGACATACGGGGATCTCAAGTGGACAGTAATTTTGAGACCCTAATCAAGGCACTGCCCAACCGGCAGCTCACGTAGTGCTCAACGCCGAGTTATTCGCCTCCAAATTTGACCCCAGGAACGTATTTTGCATGGATTCATGGCACAATTGGGTCCTCGCGCGAAATTGATGGTGGGCCATGAATCCATGCGAACGATCCTGGAGTCCAGGCTGGAGGCGTATATCTCAGCCGTTGGTGAGTCTCCTGCGCTGCCGCTTGGGCAGTTCCTTAGTTAGAGCCCCAAAATTACTTTCCACGTAAACTCCTAGGTCCAGGTTTACCTGGACGCTGCATTTAAGACCTCGTCTTCCTTCAACACTTCCATCTACGCTTGCGTGTACTTCGGAAGATCTTCCCGCTGATCTGTTCCCGGCATTGATGGTCGCTGGAGATGCGCTGTATCCGGACTCTCTTTCTTTCGAAGCTCATCCTCCTTATAGCAATCCCTTGATAAGTCTCATATGCTCCTATTTCTTCTTAAGTTGTTGAAACGTACTTTCCAGGCTCGCAGTTCTTCAAGCAACTCTGAATGAGTTTCTCCGGCCCGTGATCGTTGTAAACAACTTCGTTTCTCTACGCTGGATCTTTATTCAGTTTTCAATCAATCGTACTTTCGCTCGAAGGAGACGGTGATGGACCCACTGCAGATGGATGGAACTACTGACAATGAGACATCAACCAAATTTCACTTTCGATTGGTGCGTTGTCTTTACGCTGAATGTCGATTATGGATAACGATAGATGTATTTTCGGTCACATACTTTTCAGACCTTATCCGTTAGCAAAATTCAGCTTATAGGCTTTGGTTGACTATTCACATCAGAGACGTCCAAAATGGATCTGTTCGCCGCTGTTGTGTAGGATCGCGTCAGATCAACAACGCAAGCACGCAAATTTGCGGACGGTAGTTTTCAACTGCGATCAGCTCCCAGCATAAATTTCTTGCAATGATGTACTTGTAACAAGTACGCTGGAATTATGGGGAGGACCAAAGCGACGCCTTCAAGAAATATAGCAGCTTCAGCAGTTGAGGTTTGGGTATAATATTCTGTTCTTGTTTCAAAGATGTTTGCAAGACTTTTTGGCTTTTTTCTTCTTCGTTCATGTAATATCTGCAGCATTCGCATTGTTTCCCAATGCTCCCTCAGTGCTTTTATTATTTAGAGTACCTCAAAATCTGCACAACGTGGTCGTCCTAAAGGCATATCCAAACGAAACGAAACTATCCAGGAAATCAAGCCGTTAACATCTTCTCCTGCACATGCTCTCAAATACACGAACGAAGAATGTTTGAAAACATACACTGATCTTAAGGTAAACTGATCAAAAATACTGCCTTTATTGATAAGAAATTTTTTCAGTCTTTTGAGCAGTTTGATGAAGCATTTCCCGGTAATCTGAAAGAAAAACTCATACGAGGTGTGTTTTATAACCATTTTTATGAAAAAAAACTTCATTCGAACTATTCAAGGTGCGCTGAAGGCTAATGGAGGATCTCTACCTTGTTTTCTCTGCCAGAAATTTCTCAACACTTCACTTGGTCTCGCATTACATATCAGAAAATGTCGTGGTTTGCCTGTTCTCAATCAGGTTAATCAGGTCAGTCCAGCTTTCGGTTACTCTTCCAGCTTGTAAGTTTGAAAGAGCATTTCATATTGATCCATTGGCGGTATTCTTGTGTATTTAGGATAAACCACGCCCTAGTCCGAAAAAGCAACCACAGCCACTAAATGTAGAGATCTCATCGTTAGAACAGTTAAAGGTATGATATTTTCATTAAGATTATCATTGTAAATAATATTCTGTTTACTCGCATTTTTTTTCTCTGACCACTGTCTTGCAGTATGACCAAGTACTACCTATTTTATCAGATCTGCATTCATGCAGAGCAATCATTTGTGAATGAACTCCAATTTTTGCAGCTGTTTTTTGTACAATTTTCGCAAAATATTATAGGAGGAGCCTTCTTTATGGCTTCAATTGGATGATACCCTGAAACTTGGTCTCCTGAAACGGTTTTTCCCCAACGAAAGCAGAATTGAATGTTTTGCGATACCGAAAGAGGGTCGAGTGAGTTGGTTATTGTTGTTGTTTTTTTTCTTCGAGCAATTCAAACGAGAAACTGTTCAGAAGTGCCCCATTATAACCAAATACAGTGCCGCTTTCGATCATTTGAATGCTTGTATTCAACCGATGTATATCACATACATCGTAAGTCTTGAGCTCTTTGTGATTCTGATGATACTCCTTCAAATGCAATTCAGAGAAAAGCATCAGAGTTTCGAAAGTTAGACAAGAAGCTCAAAGTCCGCTATATCCGTGAAGCTATGAATACACTGCTCGAGTTGCCTTGTCTCGAATGTGGTCGGATGTACGGACATCAATATGGCCTCCTTTATCATGTAGAACGCTGCAACGTCCCTGAGGAGGTGCGTTTATGAAAGTAGATTCCGCATTCATCGCCTTATTAGACTAACCTATTTTTGAATACTGTTTTTGTGGATCGGGCATATAGATGTAACATATGCGTGCCATTACTTTCCCTCATGGTAAGCTTCTCGTTGAGGTTCGCTATATGAACTAACTCCCTCGGGGAGGAGGGGGGGGTCTGTTAGTGCCAGGAGTATCAGTGTCATAGATCACAGTACCTTTTTTGGTTTTTTCTACACTGCAAGAACGATCTCGTGCAGGAAATGCCTTGGAAATGTTACCGATGCTCCTACCAAGCAACCCGTGCCGATTCGTATGAGCATCTTAGACATTGCTTTCCTGATGAGCAGCCGTCAAAGGATGAGTTAGTGCTTTCTTTTTTTCTATGCGTTCATTTTTGTGAATTGATTCTTGTAAGCGCTGCACATGTTATCGGAGTATTGGGAGATGTGAACTTGAGAAGTGGAAAATCTGTCCAGAAGGAAGGTGCTAGTGAACTGATGACCATCAATGGAGAGACGAAGGTACGCTCTCTCGCTTCCAATCTTTATGACAATGCCTCGTAGACAGGCTAATCAGCGTCCTGTATAAGCGTAGAAACATCCTTTAGCCCCTCAGCGAGTTCAGCGCCAGAGAAGCTTTGGAAGCCATGGTTGGGCCTGAAAAAGCAATTTTGGTAAGAAGAAGAGATCTAGCTATTTTATGCTACAGCTAGTTTCAGACAACGAAAAAGCGTCGGTCGAAATATGGTAGCAAGGCGAGTATTTCTGCTGGAGTAATACCTTCTGGCACTAATCGGATATCAATCACTGGTGACGGAAAAATGCGATTTAGGTTTCGAAAAGCGGGCGTTAAAGGTAAGCTCTGTCTAAGTTATGTTTTGGTCCTAGTAATTTTTTTTGTAGATTGTGCTGCGGGGATATCAGAATACCCAAGGTATCTGGATGCAGTGCATAAAGCGCATGATCAGTGGCAAGAGGAGACGACTGCATTGCCGCTGTGTTCTCGTCTTCGGGAAATCGAGCAATCTGTATGGAAAAGAGCCTCAACATCGTAAGTGTTCTTATTCTGATTCTGCATGATAAAACGAGTAAATATTGTTGTTAGAGCTCATCTACCATTCATAAGCAAGGTATCAGTCGGTTTTCGGATACGAGAAAATGAGGATAAGGTATAGTCTCATCCATATTTTCAAAACCTTGGAAATAAAATGCCATTTGTCTGATTTTCAGGGCACTCATCAGGATGTTCCCCACTCTTGCCAGCGGTTGTCAGCTCTATGTTCAATAGAACTCAAACGCGAAATTCAGGACTATGTTACAGTTGCTTATTGTGGTGGACCGATTTGTGCGATAGGTGTTGCACCAAATGCAATGCAGAATGGTAAGACAGCTTGATTAATTTGTGTTTTTTTTCTCATTTTTATTATCTACACTTTTGCATTTCTTCCTGCTACTTATTCTCTGTTTTGCTCAATGAAGCACTTTCCTCGAAGTGGTATTTATGGTGATGGTGGATGTTGGTCTTAGATGTGCTATTATTATCTGCATTGATCTCAGAAGTCCATCATTTGCGCAACGCTTTCTCGAGAGTTGCAAGTTTAACCTTGGTGGTATACGAGCACTGCAGCATGTGCTATCGATCATGCAGCGCAGCGCGGGTGTGCTTGCCTATTGCACAGAGGGTGGGAAGTTCGAATCCTCCCGTCAACGTTTGGTACTTCACAGTCTTTTTCGAAATGTGTGTCGCAGAGACGGGTGGCAGATTTGAGATCAGCCTTCAATACTAGCTCCGAAAGTACAGATAGATAGAGGCCCTTTGAATATGAGTACTTCAACATCAGGAAAAAGAATCAAGAAGAATACGTAAACATGCCCTTACGTTGAGACTCTGGTCCGTAGTCAAGCCTCGAGGATGGTTTGAGAAATTCTGTGTGGATTGTGTCAACACAAGGGGTCCCGAATGTCGAAATTCTACGGATGTTCTTCTGCTGTTTTATCTCTTCACTGTGTATAACTTTCTTTAGATGAAGAGGTAGTCGCTGTTGTTACGTATCCATGCGAAACAACGCTGGTTGGAAAAGACATGAAAACATCGCCGGGACTGATTCAGTTCTGGTTACATGGCAGCGAGAACAAGAGGTATGTTGCATACAAGTCTTTGCTGTTCTTTCTTTTCTTTATGAACTCTTTTGATTCCTCACATGAATAAGCAATTACAATTAAGGTCCAAACTACGTCCATGGTTTATTCTGAAGTCTAATTTCGGGTTAGTCTTGGACGCTCACTGGCTTGATCGACCTAGATCTTCTGAAACGGAGACTTTGATAGGCTTCTTAGCTGTGGCGACTGCTCAAGGAGCGCTATTGATCTACAGGTTAGCTTGTCTCGCAGTTCGCACTTATGCTAGCAGATTTATTTATGCAAATTATAAGTTTAGAGTAGACACGACAAGTGTTTCCTCCACCTCTTCAGATGCCAAGACGTTACCGGTAGTTGAACCTGAACCAGACCTCATCCTTTATCAACCAAGACCGTGGTTAAATGGTGACAAAAGCACTGAGACAGTGAGACATCGTTTTCTCAGAATGATTCTCATCCATATGCCCATTGGACCATGTTCAGGCAGCACCGCCACTTACCTCAGTAGCTTGGTGTACTAAAGACGAAGCTCAATATGTGGTCGCTGTCAACGCTGCTGGTAAATTTGTATTCAAGTAAACGTGTGTAATAAGCCATCAGCCAATTAGGAGGTGCTGTTATATGGGACATGCAACGTTCACTAGATACCCCGTACGTACTGCTAGACTCAAGTTGGAGCTCACCAGCAACTTGTGCTTCCTTCATCGGTGGATTCGAAGGTACGTCTATAATCAAGCAGTCCCAAATGGAATTTCCCATCAGGGAAAGCTTGCCGCCGTAGTGCAGTGTTTGTTTTCTCATGGTCCATATCTTAGCTAGGGCACCATTTTCATAATACGCTAACTCGCCTGCTATTTTACATGGTTCGATAGGGTAAATTCCACATACGCATTACAGTAGCACTGTCTTTCCGTGAACGTTTGATCCGTGTGTATGATGTACGAACCTACCAGTGCACTCTTGAGGAAAATACTGTGCGAACCGCAGGTGTGTTTACCAATTTCACTAGGACACTAGATTTTAGACTATATTGAAGTATTGTGATAAGTTTTATAGGCTCACGTGCCATTGGTCAGCCACGTCTTTTTTCTGGATTCTTCACTCTGCAATCAGAATATTATCCAACCGGCAGTGAAAGTGAAATCCCTCGCAATGGAGTCAGCTTTGTTTGTGCAGAGACGAAGTCAGAAGGGTTTTTTGTTGTACCACTTGCAAACAGGTCAGAAGCTATAGTTCGGTTTTGCTATTCAAAGAAATAGTACTCTAGACATGAATTCATGACATGGGATGTCTGTGCAAGCCCTGTAAATGCAGTTGTTGCTAGTTGTGGTTGTGACGGGAAGGTTAGTTTCAATTCTCGAAGCTTTTTATGTGTTTAATTTGGACTATTCAGCTGCTTCTTTCCACAAATGGACGCCTAGTCACTTCCTCTCATATTATGGATTACGGGTTCAGTCTGATGAAGAGCGCTCTAACTCTCATACGGTAGCTGACGCGGTTGTCTTTACGATACTTTGTGAAAGTCAAATTTACAGGAAGCGTATCAGCACACCAGAAGAAGAGAGCATGCAAGAGCTGTTTGCTAAAATGGAAGCTTCTCAAGGAGCAGCCAGCGCACCAAATAGCTCTGAAGACGAAAAGCGTCCTGCCGCACCTTCTTACAGTACATATGAGGAATCGCTGCGAAGTCTTTGGCTAGATATTCATCTCAATCCAGATTCGGTCAGTCTTCTACAGAACTTGTTCTGGCTTTTTGCCGTGGAAGCGAGCGTACTAAGGGAAAAATTCGTATCAGAAACGCAGAAGTAATAAATGAAATTTCCACTGCACGCCATAGCTCATGGTCGGGACCAGCGCGATCCCGAAAAGGTCGTTATCGCACGCGGAGCATCCGCCCTCGCATGCGGATCAGGACTGGATAGATCCGGTCCGGATCAGTTGCAGCTATGATTCTGCCTTGAAGATCCTTGATTGATGAGAGTTTGTTAGAATTTTGCAAAGCCATCTCTCAAACTAGCTGGCATATCGAGCTTCGATTGATTTACGTCGACACACCATGATAGAAGTCACCATTACTTTTGTACAAAGTTCCCGTCTCTCTCACTTCTACATGCCAATCCCCTTCTCTCCTCACCCCGTTTTCTTACTTATGCTCTTTTACCCTATGTGCCAACTGCTACCGCGCCAGTCAAACTTTGCGAAAAAAAAAACAACTATAAAATCGATTAACGTAATGGGTATCTTTAAGGATTGTTGCAAGCTTCGTAATCAGCATGCTTACCCTTTTGTGAATCCAGCGCTCCAGTTCCGATTTTTTGCGAGTCCATAACCCCGAAATTATAGAATAGGAGGGCGGGTATGGGCAGCCACGCCCCCATAATAAATTTTTCACAGTGCTAAGTAGAAGTTTTGAGGATTTAGAAAATTAATGATTATTTACAAGTATAAACAAATCATTTGCACAATTTGATGACTTATGTTAGTAACTTTAGAAATTTTGCGGGCCATTCCGGGGAAGGGGGCTTCTGTATCGGTAAGCAATACTTTCGTTCATCTCCCAGTGCCAACTCCCAGCCAGCTGAAAGCATGCAAAAGATTAAAATAATAAATTTTGAAGATAATTTTCGACCTTGAAGATGAGTACCGTATTCGTAATTAGGGTGCTCCCTGCCCTTGTACCAACTCGCATGCCCCAGGTCTTCATTGAAAAGCAATGAATTGATATCGATCAATGGCAAACGAGCCGTTGACGAGTGCGAAGTTTAGTCTAGATCAGTGGCTTAGAATTCTTCTGTTTCACAGTATAGACAGGCACATAATACATGAAGACAGATTTTCTGCTAGATGTAACTCACTTCAGTGTTTTATAGGAGAAGGATTACATTCATGAAAGTTTCATGGCTTCAATCCTTTTCCCTAATTCCTTGTCGCTTTCTCATTTGCAATCCGAATTCAGAAACTCAAGACAGTAGGAATTACAAAGTATCGGCAAATAGTATCCTAAATGATATTACCTACAGGGTGTCCCAAAATTTGAGCTTAATTTGCCATCGTGTCAACTTTGTTAGTATTCGTCCATTTTTCAAAGTTTGCATAGGGGTTCTTCGCATAGTTGTCCATATTCCCTCAGAATATTATACTGTTTGTTTTGTACATTCCTAAGAAATTCTTGAGGAAACAGTACTTCGATTTGAGGTCATGCCAATGGAAATGTACCCCACTCTTCAACATGTCTATATATAGTTCTTTTGTATTTCAAGCTTTCGCAAAACTCTAGGTCGCAAAGCTAGTTCCGCTCTACATTAACTGCACAAAACCAATTACCATTCCCAATTCATTACTGCAGGGTTTAGGTGCAAACTCCCAAAGTAGTGCCGTTCCACGAAAAAATAACGTATTTCCGAAACAAATACCTAAAGAGGCTGTCTCCGACAATAAGTCAGTCTGAGACACTAATTTTGACTGTAAGTCTCGCATTCACCGAATTATCATATTTCTGATACTCGTAAGAGATTGAATACTTGACGCTTGCTTTTTTCACAGAAATGCTTCTCAATTTGGTGTGATTTCATTCGATCGAAAGCCCTTGGCTCTTCTTTGTGATCAGTCATGGAGAACAAGACCAGGGCTTGCTCTCTTCCCCATAAAGATTGGACAGTCTGGAACGCGTGCTTCAGAAAGTATGAGAGAATTTCGACGCCAATCACTTTTCTTTCACGGCGCATGCGTTTCGCTAGAGTCTGAGGACCTGTTTGAAGGGCCATAGGAGAGGTTTCTGGAATATGGGTGTAGGTTGTTGTTTTGTAGGTTCTTCACAAGCTACTGCATATGTCTATGTTGCTTTATACAATTTCAACTGAAGAAATAGTAGGCTGAAAGATTTTTGGGACACCCTGTACTGTGAAAGTAATAGAAAATTATATTATATCAAGATCACGAGTTACTCTGGGGACTTGTTCCCTATGTTATCCTATGCATTTCTCAAGACAATTCTGACTAGAGTTTATTATAAACAACAAACTGGGAAGGGGGGCTCAGATGAGCCGGGCGCCTTGGAGTGCCAGCTCATTTGAAGCCACTCAGTTGCCGTAGGAGACTGTCAGACCTTGTAAAAGCATATCAACAAAAATTGATTTCGTGCAAGTAGGAAGCTGATATATCATCAACGATCAGTAACGATCAGTAACTCTATTTATCATCACGCTTGCGATGAATAAATGATAATTAAGTACTGCGCCGTTAGATTCTTTTTAAAATTGCAGTTTTGGATAGTTGTTGCGGACTTTCTCGTGATCATGATCACAACAGTGTTTTTGAAAGACGTGAATTTACTGCTACTTTTCTTTTTACAGAAGGATCTTCGGTCTCAACAACAATTTTCATCTCTAGATCTACGGATCGAATCCTTGAATCGTGTCGCAACAAATTATTCTTCGAGGTATGCTGCTTTCTGCAATCACAATTTCTTCACATTTCTATGAAGTGATGTCCAATTATTTAGACCTTTTGTTTTCACGGGTGGACAAGCTGGCCTTATGTTCGTTCGGCCGTGCGTCATTGCCAGCGAGTCACCTGTGAGTTTCTCATGCCTCACCGGAAGTGATGTGTTTGATTTAAAACTATCATGTAAATACTTAATTTTAGCAGCTGAGCGAGTTATTTTTGGTTCCACAAGAGCTGGAGGAGAAACCGTTGGCGAAGATAAAGAGAAAGTCATAGTAGTCCTCTCACAAAGTGATCTCCAAATTATTGAACTCTACCATTCAGTAACGCTTGTTATATTATATGAGATTAATAGTGATGTATCTGAAAAGCTATGTGCCTTTTCATTGATGGTTTGACCCAGATAAACCTCTATTTGGTCAGGTTCTATAGTTGCCACTTTGTAAGGGAAGTTGATTCGGTCAGGGGTTGACAAACCTATTTCTCCACCAAACAGAATATGATTGTGGCTAGGAATGCCCGGATAATTTGTTTTCATGACTTTTCGTAAGCTATGAGGATATACTGGAGCACATAATACTGTATGGACATATGTCAATGGGTTACCCAGGGTTTCCGCTCGGAAGGAGGGGGGGGGGGGACGACAAAGCATTTTGAAAAATTTTTTCGTATGTTTCCCAAAGTTTTCGCGAACTCATAGCCTCGAAGTTTTACAAAAAAGGGGTAAAATTTTTTAAAGATAAGTTGAATTTTCGAAAAATTTGTAATTAATCACAAGTATAAACAAGTCATTGCGCTCAAAAGCGCCCAAAATTCTTTAATCTCTCTTCATTTTCTCTATCTTTCCTCACACGAAAGTGAAGAGAAGTTAGAAAATTTTGGGCGCTTTTGAGCGAAGTCTGGCCGGGCCTGACATGTGTATATGGTATCCGCTTTGTTTAGCCCACCAAAGCGATAGCAAAGTTGCCTATTACAAACTGATTCTGTACTGTGTAAACTTCCTACACCAATGAACCTCGTTCCGATCAAATTACCTCTTACCCTTTTACCCTTTAGCCTTGAAAAACATCCAACTGCTGCACAATGACGTGTATTAGTGAGAATGACCTGTAACTTTTATTGCATCGAATTCAAGGAGAATCAAACTGCACGAACGGGAAATTTGCAATCACTAACTTATCGCTCTGCTATCCAATCTTGAAGTTAGAATCAACACAATAGTTTTCGGGAGAACCCTGTCGTGGTTTGGGCACTAATATCCGATGCAGTTTATTAACGGGTAGCGCTCCCGGGCGATTAGGAGGCTCACCCTAGCTCTGGAAGAAATACCTTTCAAAAGGGACTGCATGAGAGTTTTGGAAAGATCGCCTCTAACTTAGTGGATTCTTTATCCAGCATAAAAACAATATCTGCCTTCTGTTTATGTTTTAAGTGTTTCCGCGTCTAATAATGATTGAGGAGAACTCGGCACAAGATGGTGAATAATGCAGATTCGAGTAACTATGAGAAGTGCAGATGTAAAAGAAAGAAGTCAATCTCGTGACCGAATTAATTTTACAAATATTGTCAAAAGTTTAACAACGAATTACTAGTTTGAAATCAATAAAACATTGAACTCCAAATGTGATTCGAAAACGTTTTATACGCAATGGCGCCTAGTCTATGTGCGTTATAATTGCCGATACTTACTCAGTATTATAGCCGTCCTCATTCCATTAGTCGCAGGCGGATGTCGAATTTGCACTGGGGCAGGCCGCTTGCACTAGAGAGCTTGCCGAGTACACTTATAAAAATTGTAACTTGAAATAGCCAAAGCAACAATGAAGCACATCTTACCTACTAAAAAGGAATGTACGACCAAGAATTCCTAATTTATAGGCTGTTGCATGACGAAGGCGCAATATCTCCGAGCGCGAACGCCGCTTTATTAGCCGCAGAGCTCATGAGCCGCAGGATTCACAACGATGAGGATAGGCGCGCGTCGCGTTTGCGTCTGCTCAGCTAATTAATACCGCTTTTGTGCCTTCGTCGTGCAGCAGCCTTTACATCGTTTCGCTAAGTTTACCTTCATTCGAACATTCGTGTTGAAAATCGAACATAGCAGCATAGAATACATAACAGCACATCCACTCTAATCGCGAAAAATACCAGAACACAAGAATAAACAGTCAGCACGAAGAAAAACAGAAAGGAAACATGTGTAAGATTGAATTGAGGGCCGTGGATGCTGCGCTCTATCGGAACCGGCGTGCCCCAGTTCAAGTCCGAAATCATCCTCCAGGCTACTAGTGGGGTAAGGACGACTAAGTGAGTTTCAACTTAGTTTAAGCGGAAATTGGACTGGCGGGAGTCCGCTTCGCAACTACTCAGACAAATCTGCGCGCAGGCGGCGCGCACTGAATCAGCGAGCGATGTACCTTTCCGCCGCCTGTGTGTGCAGTGCGCGCCGCCTATGGATTGAAGGCCCGCCGCCTGCGCGCTACGAGAAAAATTTTGGCAGGAATCTGCTCGGATTTTTGTTGTCGGTCTGAATATCTTATGCTCGTTGGACAACATCGTTTTACAACTATTTTATTAACGAATAATATTTACAATTTTCAAATTTGACTGTCAAACAGCAATTCGATCAAATACATTACTTACAAAATTAAGGCGTCTTCATTAGCTGATATTGACTGTCACTAGCTTAATACGTACAGAACTCACATACTCTTTCAAATGCGATATCAACAGATGTGCGTATGGAGTAATGAGTACAACGAACTTGATAGTAACAAATGCAACAATATGACGAGATAACTTGAAATAACCGCCAATGAAATCACAGGGTACTCTGATAAACAAACAGGATCTGTATACATAATTTTAAATACATAATATAGGAGTTTTGGAGGGATAGAATATGAAAATGCGATAGCAATGAATAAGACGTGGGCATGCTGGATCAGCCAGAATTAGATGCTCATAGACTTATGCCCAATAATTCATATACCCAGTTTAACCACAGGAAACAAACAGTCGGATAATGGGGACATGATGGATAAAAGAATGAGAACTAGGATGTATGATGAGACATGAATAATCTGGATCAGCCTCTTCCTCGTTAGTCCTCGTAATGGTCTTTCTTCTATCAAGGATTGATTCCATCAGTCGGTGTTAGACGCTTGCCGTGACGCTGAAATACACGCTATCAACAAAATTTAAGAAAAAAAAACAATTTTGACGAAAACTCAAAAAAAAAAATTTTTCACCTCTTCAAGATAAATAGTCAGGGCTGAGGTCCCCGCGATCATAAAGTATCTTGATTGTTGGTATTTGGGACCACTATAGATTGGTGGCTGAAACACGATCATATGTTTTCGGACAAAATACCTACTTTGGCTTCAAAAAACAAGACTTACTCTTTTGCACGGACTTTCTTTCGACATTCACTCTAGCCATCAGTACGGAAGTAGTTGTGGCCTGAATTCAACAATCCTTTTATCTTGAGAAAAAAAGAAGAAAAAGAAATGGCAATAAAAAGATAGGAAGCGCAACGACGCAAGAAAGCGCTATTGATTGAAAGTGAGCGTCCCCGTGTCACGAAGTCAATATGATTAAGGACCAGAGGTAGGATAAAAGATATGGAAGACTGATATGAGAAACAAGAGTGATTTTGGATGAAATAAACGAGGACGTGCTACAAAAAGGCAAAAAAATCGCCTACTTGAACTCAAAACAACTTAAAAATAGAAAAAGAGGTAAAACAGCAGAGTAAAAGTGAGGAAATCGACATACAATACTTTGTATGAAAAAAAAACAAAGAGAAACGAGGAGAAACGATTCTGCAAAGAATTCTGCATTTGCGCGTGAAAGCAAGCGTCTCTCTTCGCCTACGTGATGCTACAGAAATTACATTGCGCGCCGCCTGCATGCACGCTGTGTTTGCGCTCCGCCTGCGAACATGCATTGCGCGCCGCCCGTGCGGTGCAAGGTCACGCCCACAAATCACGGCCCGCCGCCTGCCCTGCTGGCCGTGAGTGCGCGCCGCTTGCGCGCAGAATTGTCTGAGTACTCGCGCTGGGGTGGAGGACTGTATGTCGCCGAATTTGAAAGAGTCCCGCGCGGATTCCCTGTAAGAACGCATGTCCGCGCATGTACAAGGGTGCGTATTTGTCGCAAATGACCGCGGGGACCGCCCTTTTTCGGCGACATGTAGTCCTCCACCCCTCGCGCTGCTTTGCAGTCTGCGTCTTTTCACTCTAATTTACCTATCTCGCTAAGCCAGTGGCGGTGCGGATGTGCTGCCACTTGGGCTGTTTCGCCTATTCCGCGTTGAAAAAGACTGTATATCTTACTTCAGGGGCATTTCCAATGCTTCTGCGCTGGTTATGATCAGTAAATCTAGAACGGAAATGTGTGCGATTGCACAATTTCCGTGACACCCCTCTCCCTATAGGCCGTCCGGCAGGGCGCGGAGAGTGCGCAAGATGTGTATTGCGCGTCACTCCTCTTTCCTCGTGCACTCTCTTCGTCTGTTTTCTCTGCGCTTCTTCGAGTCTTGAACTGCCTTCAATGTACGCAACAGCGTTGTTCTTCTGCACGGCGCGGACGGCCTATACTACTGGGTGGAAGTTTAGGCATTCCATTTAATCAGCTTGATTAAGCATTACGTTGGTGATTCATCCATAGAAGTGGTCATCAGGGCAACCCTCATACAATCGCATCATCTCCGTACAAATGCTTTTGTTTTTAGTTCCATATTGTGAGTCCTTCTGGCTGTCCTCGGACACCACGAAAAGTAGATTGATAGTTCACACTTATGAATAGAGAAAAAGGAGACAAATGTTCTGTAATGGCGTTCTTCCTAGCAAAACTGGCTATTCGAATCAAACTTCGTGTTGATCCGTGCAAGTACGCGGGGGCGCTTATGTCGTATCATGAATGATCGGGGACAAGATACAATTGACTGATAGCTATGGAATGGCTATCTGTCAGCTGCAACGAATATTTCAATGAATTGTTAACTCCTTACGGCACAAACTTTAAGTTTTCGTGATTTTTCTTGCTTATAGCAACTAGAGCATTAGTTTTGTTTTCTTCGTTTCATTGCTTGGTTATAGGAGAAAAATCTGATAGAAAAGTCTTTTTTGGAAGAATGATGTATGATGCAAATAAATCGAGGGATGCAATTTTCTGTACGAAGGAAGGATGAAGGAGATTTTCTAGGACAGAAATGTCGACCACAATGGAAATGTGTAAACCTGCAGAGAAAGTATATGGTAGAAACTACAGACTTAGATAACATACAAAATTTGTTGCCTTTATTCAAAGTGCTGAGAAATAAGGTGATGCACGATCTCAAGTTCAGACTGTGTCAACTGCGTACTCCTTTTTTCATCCGTGCGCTCGCGACGCCAAAGCTTTGCAGCGTATGGCTTGGGCAATCAAATCGGAATTACCCTATTTTCAGGTGTACAAGCCGCACCCTTTTTGCTCTGAACACGAGCAGACCCAGGCGTGCCGCCGCGCATATGTCTCGCGAAGCGGTCGCCTTATCGCATACTGCTCTCACTTAACGCGCTCCATGATAACAGTCAGCCTTTTGGCGTGTTCGCCTTTAGGCCTAGGGCATACCTCACGCGATTAGGCCGAATCGCCACTCTCACGCGACTTGGCGATTTGCCAGGTTTCTACAAGTTTATCGTGCGCGCTTCTCGGATGGATATTTGGGTAGCTTGTGTAAGGTGTTGCAAACGGAACAAGTTCTGATCAAAGACAGCGCATTAACGACGAATTACGAAGAGTCGCTGATGTGCCAAATCGCGCAGCGACCGGAATCGCTCGAGGTATGCCTTAGGCCTTAGAGCGAAAAGGGTGCGGCTTATACACCTGAAAATAGGCTAGGTATGTCTCGAGGTCCGCACGCATGGCCGTCGCGTTGCGGACAGGAATTTCTACGCAAAAGGGAGCGCGTAATTGACACCGACTGTACGCCTTTGATTTCGGGCGCAGCTGAGTAATTGCGCAGTTTCAGCTCATTGATCTTAGCATTAGTATGTAACTGGATAATCGCCTGGGCTGATCAGTAATACTTAGTCTTTCTGGCATGTCAAAAAAAAGGAGTGGAAATCTTGGTAATGGGAATGAAAAATAGAAGATTGTTTGTGCTCAGCAGTTGTTTGGAGTCAGCTTTTTTGCTTCAAAAAGTCGTACAAAAAAATCCAAGAGGGGTATTCCTGCAAAATGATAGATTAGAGTCAACCACTGATGACCAACAATATTGATTATCTGATTACTTTTCTCATCATTGTGAATTCCCTACTAATATTGCTGCCTGATTGATCACTCCAGCTACAACATCATTCGCTAACACAGTAGAAAAAATCGTATTCGTCATCGTTAACATCGAATTCATGAAGCGAAAAAGTGTCAGACAACTGCAGAAACGCTAGAAAATGATCTTTAGGGCAGCACGATGTGCTGAATCATTTGGGATCGACGTATCTTTGGATCACAATTTTTGATTTTGAGAACACTGTTCCAAATCAAAGTAATTACTGGGATAGATATGCTATTAGGTTGATGCATAATTTTTGCACCAAAATTTTCGAACTTCATTTACTTCCCCCAGATTCGATGAAAGCTTTTGATTACATAACTAATAGAGAGAAAAAACCTTGCGCTTTTTAAAGTTGCCCAAGTTAAAATTTCTTGAGGGCTTATGGCAACGATATAAGCTGCTCAAAAAGTGATTTTTCGATTTTTGGTCACTGAGATTGCTAAAAAGTCTATCAGAATTTAAAATTAGTTTTGGTCTTGCTTTTATGATATACTCTTTCTGATTAAAACAACTTGGTAGTGATTGGATGTCTTTGCGAACAGTCACGAATTTCGATTTTTTGAGATTGACTCATTGATTTCGTTTCATATTGAATTTTTAGAATTTAATATAAAATGCTAATTTTGTTATATATAACAAAGAGCATATCATGAAAGTTGGCTAGTTCATTTGGGCATTTTCAGAACATTTTTTTTATTTTTTGGTGCAAGAATTGTGCACCAACCGGATAGCAATCGTGTTAGAAATTCTTTTCGATAATAAAAATTGGTGTGATAGAGATGTTTTTCATTTTGAGAGGACCTGACGTCAGCTACGCAAATAAAAATATCTGTAACATCTGGGATTCAAAATTAAAAAGTGCTGTCCATATGAAGGAAGGAACATGTCTATTGAAGTGCACGCATCAGTTTGAGGTTCGCTGCAGTTTTCTAAAGCTAGCGCTCTTAGACTGGGCGAGGACGGAAAAGGGAGGGGAAAGAGACGGATTTTGTTGTGATCATCTATATTTATCACCGGTGTAGAATTCAAGTACGAATTGTTTCAAGAAAGCCCCAATTACCGATATGATTGTTCGTCGATCGAGATTTGTCGAGATTTGCACCCCTGGAAAGTGGACAGCAGTGTCGGATTTGTTGCTGACGCGTAGCTGTGTGTGTCGGTTGGTTGGATGTGGTGTAATGTGTTTTGTCGAAGCAGCTCTATCTTTACGTGGGGTGGGTGTGATCTCGGTGGCTGACGACGAGGCGCTGCCCCTCGGCTACACCCCCATCTCGGCGACGGAATGCCGGGAGAAGGAGAGAGTGCCACAGAAACAATGGCAGTACAGCTGGCCGATCAGAGTGAGGGTCGGATCGGGAGGTAGAAGTCGAGCGCGGAGGTGAGCACTACCGTAGGCGATCCGTCATCCGTCGCGGCTAGAGAGCGTGGCGGCCGCGGAGCGGCCAGACAGCTGCGGGGCGTGTCGAAGCGCCAGCGGCGAGAGAGAGCGAAGACGGCGTAAGCTTGGCCGCACGCCTGCTGCTGCTACTGCCGCCGCGCCGGTGCCGTCCCTCCCGACTCGGATTCAGTACGTCGGACTCGTCTCGTTGTTTGCGGCTGCACTCCTCGTTTCACTACCCCACCTACCAAAATGGACGCCATCAAGAAGAAGATGCAGGCGATGAAGATCGAGAAGGTACACACACATATACATCTCTTCGCCACTACCATATCTAACCCCTTGCTCCGGTTCAATTACCCAACTCGCTAACTAACCCGCTAAGAGACATTTATGGCTACGTCCCGCTTCCTTAATAGCACTTGATTCCCTATCCCGTTCTTATCCACCCGTTCGCCGCAATCATCATTAGCCCCTATGCACAAAACAGCTAGGAATATTCGATACAGTTCTCAATTGTCTCGCGCTAGCCCGCGCCTAAGGTTCTGCACTTTTATGGGATTTTCTTTTACACTTATGAACTAGCCTTAGCGTTGACTTCTTCTGCAATGTTTCGCTGTGCGAATGTTGTGCTTTGCGTCAGCGCGCACATCTGAATCAGCCAGACTTTTATTAATGTTTTCTCTGCTCGATAGGAATTACTTTGCAAAAATGGCATTTTGTTATAATATAATAGTAGGATTGACATCACGTTTTAGTGCACTCTGGTTTGACCTCTTGAAGTTTAAAAAATTCAAATTTACCCAATAAGTCCGCAGAGATTTGATTGGCATAACATACTTTATATAGTTCCTGCTGATTAGATCCAGAAGATTCTCTCCACATCTTCGGAATTTTCACTTAACTAGTGAATCAGTAATATAAAGGTGCTAGATTCGCAGACGTTCGCTGTGGGTGCCGCGCGGTTCCCCGCAATTTCACCTTTTTTGAATAGGCACAACGATCCTTTATATATAGAATTACCAACAATAGTAGTAAAACTTTTGTAATGGGTGAGGTTTTAAAGCCAACCCTAACTTCGGAAGCTTCATTGAAAAAATCAATACCTCTTCATACTGACTGAGAACTGATACCGTAACCACATTAGTGTACTTCAAGCTTTTCTCAAGTTTTCTGCTGAACCTAGCAGCAGTCATAGCTTTTTGTGATTCGATAAAAAGGATAATTTACGGGCTATCAAATGTTCAATTTTCTGGCATTGAGACATTGATTAGACCATGGTTCTTCCAAATTCTGAAGTGGAACCGTACACTCCTACAATGAAGTGTCATAAAAAATTTGGAGAGATTGCCTCGAGTATGAGCAATAGCTTACCTCTCATTACTTCACTTTTCCTGCGCTTATGCTGAAGCCTAAATTTTTACAGCTTGTCTCAACCCAGAAAACCGGAATTTAATTTAATCAATATTATTATCCCAAACCTGGGAGGTACGACAGTGTACGTCTACCAAGTCAAATCTTGTGCACTTCTTCATTCTGGCCACTTACCACTTTGAATAGAAAAACGAACAAGTTTGAACTGGTAAAGCAACTTCTGCCCAGCGCTTTCGAAGTTTTCCTGGAGAATAATGGTAAAGCATGCAGCTGTAACCCGGTATTCTGATTTTGGCGCTACTGCAATTGCACTAAGTTTCGAAAAGTGATGCTAATCTCAAAAAAAAAAATGATTGCATAATCAAAAAGAGAGTGGATATGTACTATCATAACAATAAAACTTAATTTTCATAAAGCAATTTTGAAAATGGACTTTTCTCAAGCAAATGAGCAAGTTGGCGGCAATTCTTTGCTTCTGCTGCTGTCTTATGCGCCTGTGCGTTGTGCTAAATGCTTCAGTGTAACACATAGAGATGTATGGGCGAGGCGAGGAGAGTTTCGTTCTCGTTACAACATATGGAAGCCATCCGAGAAACAGCCCTGCTTCTTTCTCTAGGGCAACCAACCTTGTTGATTTGAAGGGATTTGAGAAGGAGAGGGAGATTTTTGTATTTAAAGCTGTGTTTCTGTTTGGTACCAAGCCTTTCCTAGCTAAATGACGAATTATAAAAAGAGAATTCTATGTATAAAGAATCGTTGTGTCTACTCAAAAAGGTGAGATTGCGGGGAACCGCGCGGCTCCCGCAGCGAACGCGCCTGCAAATCCAGCACCTTCAGATTACTGGTTCACTAGCCATTTAGGGCATATTTCAGCAGAAAAAAAATTACAAGAGAAAGCAAATTCTTGAGAGACTCAGATCATGCTTTTTAGTATATATGAGGTCATCTCATGTGCATTTGCACACTCATCTTGCTCATAACGCTAACATCTTCATACAAGATGCACGAAGAAGCTGTGCGCGTCTACTAACACGTCCGTACTTGAGTTAGAACGTTTTTGGATAGCTTGCTAGGAATTCGGATAAAAAACTTGTTCGAGTCTGTTAAACAGAACATGCAACAACGTTCTCGAGTATACCACAATAAGAATGGATGATGTGCTGTTACCGCTGCGCAACGGTTCACGCGTCGCAACATCGATTCGTGCTAGGAACCCTTGCCTGCGTTTCCTCATTCTTCTCTATCTTTGCTTGCCAGAAATTCAGCGCTATGCGCGCGCAAGTCCTTCTGCGTCGTCAGCGGTGCAGACGCGTCGCCCCACGTGAATTTTCGCCCAACTCCGAGTCTAAACAGACCATGCACTATGCTCGTCAAGAAGCATGCTGCACCGTCACGCAAGCGTGTGCGCTGCGACACTACTGTCCCACAAACGAACATTGAATGCTCATTTTATCTCACCTCGTTCTATGTTTTTTTCGCTCTATATATTCGATGTGGATTATCTTCGAATAAATATCCAATTCAGGACAACGCTCTCGATCGCGCCGATGCCGCCGAAGAAAAAGTCCGTCAGATCACTGAAAAGCTTGAGCGAGTTGAGGAAGAGCTCCGAGACACGCAAAAGAAAATGATGCAGACGGAAAATGACCTCGACAAGGCTCAGGTAAATTACAGATTCGTGCAAAAAGGCTTTGTAATTTAGTTCCAAAAGTCAATGTTACTTTTTTTAAACTTTCGTTCGTATTTGCTCTTTCGTTTCATAGAGAGAAAAGTTGACTCAACTATAGTGAGTATTGCTAAATTTTGAGAAGAAATATGATGAAAATAACAATTTATATGTCTGTAGGATTGGCGCATCAGCTGCAGAGTGAAAGACCTCTAAGTCATCTACAGATGCTCATAACATCTACAGCTGAATTCGTTTTGGAAAATCATGCGTTATTTTTACGTTACGTATTCTCTTAGGGTGTATTAATGCTCATGACACCTACAGCTAATTTTCCTAAAAAAGTTGCTTTGTAGTTTAAAAAGCCATTCGTACTGTTTTGAAAAAGAAACATTCTTATCCAAACTTCACTTTTACGGAGGTACGTAACCTTCAGTGAGAAATTTTTGCAATCACGTAGTCTTCACAACTCATAGTTTCTGCCCTCGTTTGAAAAGGAAAAGCCACGCTTACTTAAACTATCAACTCTCACTATCATTGTCGATTGGCTGTCATAATTGTGATGTTCCCCAAAGCAATCATCCCTCATTTCAGGAAGATCTTTCTGCCGCTACCAGCCAACTGGAGGAGAAGGACAAGAAAGTCCAGGAGGTAAGTGTCTACAGGTTACATTTGTTTTATGCTGTCTCGGCTACATTCGCTGTTTGCTTTGTGACCTTCCCACAAATGGAGGAGTGGGAATCTTTTTAGGTCTTTCAGTGCGTTTCAGATCTCCTTCCAACACAATACTACAAGTAAGTCAGCCCCCTCAATGTACTACTCATTCTTCCATTATATCTATAGCAGAAAGTTTGGATCAGAAAACATTTCATCGTAAAGAAAGGACTCGATGAGTTTGTCTTCTTTTTAAAAAATTGTTTGCTGCAAACAGCGTGATTGTCAAAGAAAGTGTTTTCTATGGGGCTAGTTCTGCCTGTATCTCATAAGAAGTTTCTCTTGGGAAGATCTGAAAATGATTGCAAAACTTTCTGTATCATCTCGTTCTCATTCGCAACGATTCAATCATTGCAACAACGCTTCACATTTTTTGCACGCATTTGTAGTCAGTCAGTGCAAAGCACTACTGATTCACACCCTTGTCTTCGCATTTTTGCTTCTTACCAATCACATTGTACTTTCACATTTCCTTATCATTGTGAACTCGACGCATTGGACAAATTTGCGGCGTTTTCATCGATAAGAGGGAAACACACAATGGTACTGCTATAATAAGAAGCCGTTTGCGTTATTTGCCCTATAATTTCGGAATTAGTGGTTTTTATCAGGTGTGTACGAAGTGCACGTTATTGCTATCAGTTTTGGCTCATCACTTCTGGAAAGACGAGAACCCTTGCTAAACCATTACATTTTCTCTGCTTTTAGAATATCTATCTGCGGTGCTGTTGTGTGAATCAGCCAATTTTTTTTCCAATCTGCAGTGACAACACGCCGAGCAATGACTATTCATTGTGATTGTGCTCCGGCCCCGCATATTACAGTATCGTAGCTATACGTCGATGTGAACTTTTGCCTTGCACTGAATTTTGCTTCTATTGCATCTATCCTCCTTTCAAGAACGATTAAGTAGCGCATACAGGAGCAATCTGATCTGTGCCAATTTACTCATTTCTGCGTTCGACTGGTTACAGATCCCACACCAATTCAGAATGCACTTGGTAATAATTGATACTTGTGTATGAGACATGACTTATTGGGGTAATTCGATTGTATAATGCGTTATTTTCAGCGACTTCATTTTCCATATTTGTTGCGCTTACGCTGCCTTTAGCTACATACTGGTAATTCTTGTGGTTTTAAGCTCTTACTAAGGAAGATTGCAGCTATTCTAAGTAATGGTTGATTATAATCTTATTAAAAAGGGATCTTTAGAAAAAGTGTTTGGCTTGATAACATGATCTCCTGTAGAACATTTACAGTGATTCTATTCTGGATATTGAAGCTATTTGTGCATTTGCAGACTATCATCCTTGTTTTCGAGGTGGTAGCGTTTTCGTCTAGAGCATTTGTCATTCGACTCCGTAACATGACTCGATCTGAGAGAAGACAAAAATATGCGTTGTTGACCGGTAAGATCCATCTGACTAGACTTTAAACAATAGACAAACAAGTTTTTTAAACCCATCCGACAAGACCGTAGCAGATTTTGGCTTCACTAGCTGCTAGTGGTTTCGAAACTTTCTAGAAAATGCGAACAGTTGTCACTTGACAGTTCATTGATGAATGCGTATGAAAGAGACATGATACTGCAACAGCTTGCAAATTCCTGGAACAGTTGTCGTGTCACGTTCGCCCACGTCCAACTGAAGTTGAAATCTTCTTTTCTTTTGTGAACAAGATGCAACAACCGAACTGTCCATGCTGCATTCGGAGAATTTCTGCATTTGCACATATTTCCGAGGGGAAGAGGTGCGCTGCAGCCCGTGTCAATAATTTGCTCCTTTTTACGTAAGCGCGATCGCCACGCCAAAGCTTCGCACCGCATCTGCGCCCGCATGGCTTGATCCATATTGCCCGAATCGATTATAGACTAATGAACCAGTAATCTAAAGCTGCTATTTGGAAGAGCGTTCGCTCCGGGACCGCCCCGCGGTTTCCCGCTATTTGCACATTTTTGAATTGCGCTTACAATTCTTTATATATTAGATCACGTCGGCCGTCGCGTTACGCATGCGTACTTCCTACGCAAAACGAAGTACATAATTGACACAGACTGTACATTCCTTCTGAGACTAGTAGGCTCGGAAACGCTTTACACAGTATATAATCTGCAAATTTGCTTGTGCCACGAACAGGTTTGTAACAGCTTTGCACAGTACGATTAACAAACTTGAACCTTTTTCTTTTTTTCGATTTCAAGTGGTAAATATGTAAGAAGAGGTAGAAGATAAATAGTAACTTGTAGTAACTTATTAGTAATTGGTAAGCCGAGTCTCCTGGTCTCATGTCAGAATAGCTTATACATAATTGCTTGCGCTCCTGATAGATATGGTAAACAGAATGTTTGAAAAAATCGACTCAAATTCTATGGAGTTCCCAAAAAACTTTCAAAAAACATCAATTACCTAACTGCAAAAAAGTTGGCGATTGTCTGCAAATGCACAAATTCACTAGCTGTTGAATATTAGTGTAACTCTGCTATTGCTAATAACTGTCTCAACACTATTTTGTTGCATACATCCCCTGATATCCAATTTAGCTTGCGTTTCTGTCATGTTGTAATGATTAGCGCGTGTTTGCTTTACACTGTCGCTCGCGCCACAGCTCCCCCGCAGTGTGTTAGACGGTTGGCCAGAATAACGCGGGATTAGCGGAGTGTCGGAAGCGTTGAGCTTGAGAGCGGGTAAGAAGCAGGTTGATAACAGAAACAAGAGAAGTGTATGCGAGCGAGCGCTGATCCGCGCCCGCGCTCCTCTTGTTAGCCCAGCAAGCGCCACTCGTAGCGTATTGCGTGTAGGATCTCGGATTAGCCTGATTTTTTCCGGTGCGCTAGAGCTTTTTTTAGTCGGTGTGTAGTACGGAGAATTAAGTGGACGAATGGGCGTGAACTATCTTTGAGTCATTTTTAGCTCAGTGTGTGAACTTGCACTCCATGCGCTGCAACCCACGACAAATCTTACTGGTAACTCCTCAGTGAGACTTCTATAGCGTAACAAGCTCTATAAGTTGTTCACCACTGATCAATACATGTCCTTTGAAATCAAAAGAAACCAAGAGACATTGCAAAACTCACATAATTGAGTATTTTAATCTTAGGAGTCGTTAAGTAACGCGTCCGGTGTGCATACGCATTTTGAGTTACAAATCTCTTGACGATAGGTAGCAAGTGAATTTTGAATACATTATTTAAGGGAAGTCCGTCTAAGAATATTTGCGGGTGTTGGTGAAATACAGGGAATAATTATTAGACGGGAAGAAAGCACTTCGCCCTGAACCATTATAGAGGGATTGTGCACGGCTGGTTCAAGTATGGTGAGGTCACATTGTTTGCTCAAACACTTTAACCAGAAGTTAAAGAGGGTAAAGCCTCTAAAAGATCAAGAAAGTGTTTCTAAGGTCTGCACTAAAAGAAAGGATAGAACCTATTATTTTCCTTTTTTGGATATAGAGGACGTGCGCATTGCTGGGTGGAATGCAAAAGATAGCGACTAGTCAACGACTTTACGCATCTGTTTTGAATCTTTGTGCAATTACGCATAACTCAGATGTGCGGAACCTGAAAGCATGGACTGGGAGAGACTTGACAGTGGTGCTTAACAAGTTGGAATTTGCGTTTCAGTACCGTATAGAGATGTTTTATTACTCGGGAAGAAATAAAACATGTACGAACTAGCTAAAGGCAGTGTCTCGGCAGAACTTTGTTTTCCAGTTTTTCACCTTTTCGGAGCTTTCTCGCCATAAGACTAATATCTAGGCTTTTCAGCGCATATAAATGGCGAAAATGAACTTTTTTCTGAAGCTTTCCAGGTCCGCATTCAGTGTCGGAACAAGGGAGGCGGGGCGTGGAAGACTTCCGGCGTATTTGCACTGAATGCGGGCCTGGAAAGCTTTGGAAAAAACTCATTTTCGCCATTTATACTTGCTGAAAAGTCTAAATATGAGTCCCTGTGGCGAAAAGGCTCCGAAAAGGTGAAGAATTGGGAAACAAATTCTGAGATACTGCCTCTAAACAAGCGTGCGCGTAACGTTTTCGAGGCGTCTACTCCATAAAAATCCCATAACAAAACATCGTTGAGTAGTAAACTCATTCACTATTTGATTCACAATTTTAGGTGAATGAAAGATTTCTCAGGAGTTTTGACGATAATTCCACTCATTATCTCAACCACAGCTCCTTCCAGCACAGTGGCACGCACCTAAACAGGCCAACTGTGCTGAAAGGACTGTGTTCGAAGGAGTTAGCCCTCCAAGTTCATTTCGATATGTCCCAGTAGAAAACCAATCCTCAGAGCGAGTAGATCCTTTCAGCGTTCGCGATCCCAACCCTCTATAAGAACAGAATGCGCTAAGTGAACATCGGACGTTGATGGTATGTGGGCTGAGGAACAATACATGACTCACTCACACACCACTCCGACGATGACGATCACCACCGCCCCAGCGGCGTAACATACATTCATTCAAGTCCTATGGACATACATACACTTACACACACCAACACACATTCGAGACCACTCCGTGTACGGTCACAGACCAACACGTTCCGCTAACTGTAGACCAAGCGCCGCGACTGTTCTGCGACATAACGATCAACAGCACAGCGTTCTCCACTCTTGATTCGTTGAGTTCTCTTCACTTTCTCGCTTGTGCATACAAAACCATCTGTTTGTTTTGGATGTGCAGCGATGAGTGAAAAAAAAATGCTTGCCCATGCTGAAAAGAAGTGATCTGCCCAAATAAATAAATCTCTTGAGAACAAGAAAGTAAGGAAAACTCTGGGGCAAGCATTCATTATCTGCCATACTTTTGTGGTCTAGATGGGACTGTGTGTAAGGGAACGAAATTCGCCATCGTAGGTTCTTCCGCACACAACTGGTCCTTTCACGATGCTTTACATGTCGTTTGAGGACCAGTAGTCCGCAGAGGCGATCTGA